CCTCAAAAGACATGTATGGGACTTGGTTTTATCGTTTAAATCTTGATAGACAGGTACAGGCATATCATTTCCTAACATACGTGCCAAAAACTACTGTTCTTCTATTTTTCGTTAAATGCTGGTTATTTTTACTTCCGAGATACCGCTTTCTCTCGGACGAGGTACTATGGGCTCCATATTATAGATTTTTTCAAATTATTTCAAGAAAAGACGACAACTAAATGAAAACTATAGACAAAAAAAGTTACGCCATTACTGAGGTGGGGGCCTGAGAGGCCCACAAGAAACTTTAAAATTAATTTACCCACTGAAATTGCGCGTGCAATCACGTGCACAGTTGTTGACAGCCTCGGCGCAATGAAACTCGAAGGTACTAAAAGATTCGCGTGTGTCGTTCACGTGGGAGAGGAGAAATTCAACAATTTGACTTTTTCAGGGCCTGAGAGGCCCCCACGTCAGTAGTTAAAGGTTAAAAGTCATATTTTAAATCGACGATGGCAACAGAAATCTTCGTGAAACCAAAGTTTAATTTCGGAGAATTTATCATAAGTGCTGTTATTGATAACTGTTCGATCAAGAAATATAATTTCTTTTACTAAAAAGCAAATTAAACTCGTAATTCATTCGCAATCATGACGCCGCTGATACCTGTCTTCCATAAAATGCCAACTTAATTTCATTTAACTAACTTTGCAAGTCATTCTGCACTGAAAAGAGTTCAACGCTCGCAACAGTCACATCATATTCCAAAACCTTTGTTATAAGAATTTTTGGGCAATCATTACGAACGGTACCGTTGCGGTAGTTCTGATTTACAAAGTGTTTTATCATAATTATTAAAGACTCTACAAGTAATTTTATTGCCGTCGATTTAATTAAAATCGGCAATTTCTATGCAAATGAATTCGTCTTAGCTAAAAACGGCTTTATGTGAACGAGTTTCATACAAAAGCATAGCCATTTCAGTAAATCCAAGCAAGAAAAGGCAGTCCCACGGTTGCTTTGAAACTTAATCTCAGATCTATGAATGATATCATAGCTCTTGATCCGGGTCGCGTTGGCTGAGGCGCCAAATATACTTATCGACTGTTTATTATCTACTGCTCTTTTTGTCTGCACTTTAAACTCGACTAGTTTTAAACAAACTGCCAATCGTAAACTAAATTGGGGCGTTGAAGATAACCATTTAAATATGATTGCGTTAGTTGTATATAGAATGTTGTTTTGTCAAGATTTTTTGTGTTACTTTTAATTATATTTAGAGCAGACAAATAAATAATATATTACACCTGTTGAGAATATACAAATATCGCCCATTTGACATTAAAGAACACCCACATATTATTTGCCTTATTAGATTCTTATTTAAAGTAGCAAAAAATTACCGGCTACTTTGAAGTTTTGAATCAATTAGATTTTGGTGTAACATTATCATTTTCGTCAATAATACTTTTACAACCTCATAATGTGGTAATAAGGACATTATTAGTATTGCTAACACACATCAATCATAAGTTATGTGTCAGTTAGCCAACGGACTAAAGCTAACAACGTTTTTTTTACAGAATTAAAACAACTTGAAGAATTAGCTTCATTATTTATTTTTGAAATAATGATGTCATGTGGTTCGTTAGTTGTTATTGCGTTTTACATTTTGAACTGTAAGTGGATAAGTATTTTGCATTGTACGACATGACAAGAGTTTTCCATTACAGGTGCTGTACGGCGGATACTAACTGTTCCGTGTGAAAGAGGGCAACACCGATACTATAAAGAGTTTTTACAGTCTATTCTCAAAGTGAAGAACTTCGAAAACGTGTGAAATTAACGTTTCGAGTGACATCGCGTGTCTGCTTTTAACAAATAAACTATTTATGTATTTTCATGATCTAATGTAAAGTTACGACCATGTCGACAATGTTATGATGCGAAAGTAGACATACGTACTCAATCAATAAAAAATAAAGTTATGAATCATGCAGGTATATTCTTAACAAGTATGAAAGTCTATAAAGTTATACTTTTGATTTATAGATTTGATTTACACTTAAGTTAAATACGTAGATTCCATGTTGAGACTATATTTACCAGAAACCCCTTGTATAAACCACATGAAAAATAAATACCTAGGTAGGTACTTACTTTGACTTTCACTCTGAAATAATCTCAGTTGCATATAAGTTATCCATAACAAAAAGTTTGTCCTCAAATAGCGATATAAAATCATATTACAGACGGATTATCTTACAATCTCGAACGTGCATAACTACAATGAAGTGAATAGATAATTAATATGAGAAGCGATCGTCAATCAGCCTCGACAACAAATATACAGTTTCAGCATGGGAACGCCTTCGGTTCCAGCTGATTAGCCTCTCCAGTTGCATGTGGATACCGTTACACAACGTGAGTATAACTAAACAATGTAAGAACCACTGTAACACCATAGTTAAATAATAAACACTAGACTTATTAATTCAATACTCTTGTACAATGAGATGTTTTCATACGAGAAAATAATGAATTCGCATAGCCTTGGTTGGAGGCAACAAATATGTTGGTATGAAACAAATCACCACTTTTCATTGCTGAATCATTAAGCTACTGTTAATGTAAACTCACTCTTGTGGGTATAATCATACAGGTAGACCAGGGTGCCTGAGTCTGATTTGGCTCTTTTTCAGTGGATTTGACGACTTATGTGAAACTCATTTTTGATTTTGCCTCCAACTTTATTTTCAGGCTGCTTACAATGTGGATCTTTTAATAAATGTCACACTTATCGCTATATCCACAGAAGGATTTTAAGTGTCACCTAACTCGTAACTAATCAACGACAAAGAAGCCTCTTACACCAAAAATTAGGCAGATTTTAACCACGCTTACATTAAGTATCCATGACAAAAGCAATTAGAGATATAATAAGTGACGCACATGTAGGTACAGACATTAATTAACTACTTCCTGGAGTTTGTATCTCTAACGTACTTATTTGAGCATGACTGAGTGGTCTATATTAGTTTCAACGCCCTGTCAGAAATAACGTAAAAACGCTAAATTGATTGGTATCAAAACATTGAATTTGCACGAGCTGGAGCTCTTTTTATAAAACAATCAGAATTTTATAAATAAGAAGTATTACATTCACTGGTTTGTTTGATTTTTGTTACAGGTAAACAAGTGCAATTTTACAAGGAACACGTTTTGCAGTTAACTCTACATTCTACAAACATGTACGTACAGCTGATGTGTGTAGGTTATGCTACTGCTCTTACACAGCTCAGCCTTATCTTTAGCCTTTATTGTCTCGTCAATTTTACGAAATGACCGTACTTTAGTGTTGTAGCACACATTGCGTAGCCTATTAAGAGCCATGCGACTACAATGGCTGACTTTCACTATTAGTCCGAACACGCACATCTAGGCCGGACGCAGTTTCTGGACCAGAAAGGATGTGTAACGTATTGTTCTTAAGCTTTCGTTTACGTTACACCTTTGGACGTTACATAAATAGGTACTCATAATATGTTTATTAATGAAAGCGGTAATCAAAGTTGCCACAGATGGTGTTATTTTGCCTTACATTTATAAGAAAAATGGTCGATAATTTGAAAACGTTCGAAATATTTGCATAGAAATAAGGTGCTCCAATCCACCAGTGTTTTAAACGATAATTGCTTCCTTCGGAAATTCCTTTTCTTAGTCGTTTTCCTTATGCCTGAGGAACGTGATAAGGTAATTATGCGAAATGATACGCAAAGTTAAGTATATCTACTTACCGACATGTAGGTCGATTTTTATTAGAGTGATATTGCATACCAACAATTTTATTGAGAAAGTTTCGTTGCAATTTTCTTTATCAGTTAGGCAGTTTATATTTTTTTAAAGTGTACTTTCCAGGCTCCAGTGTGAGTTTCATTTTTTTGTCGATGTCCCACCTAAACGTGTTAACACTTTCAAAATGCCGTTTATTCTGTATTTTCAAATTATTCAGTAAGTAACCATGGACTTTCCGTTACATAGGTATATTTCAGTTTCATCATCAACAACACTTTGATCCTTATTATTTTACTGGCTCTCCCGATGAATGGTTATGAAACGATGACCTCACAATACCTTTGGACGAATGATAACCGTGAGTAAACACTTACCATGTTAAAGGTTCCCAGTGACTCAGTTTGTGGTAGGCGATGAGCTTCAGGGAGTGCTGATTGAATACAAATACCTATAGAGACGTTACAACGCTCTACATGACTCATACTTGGGAATGAAAGACGTTATACTACAAAGTCCTATTAAATAAATTAGAAGTTGACTCATCTATTTGCATAGTTTAATTTCCTTAACTAGATTAAAACAACTCGTAATTGTAATTATTTTAGTGACTATACCTACATTAATACTCTACATAGTTGGTAGCGATTCAACGCATTTTGTCCCCGTAAAAAAAAGGTTTATATTTGTGTGATAATTAAGTTAATTAAAATTATTTTTCTTATGATAGAGTCGTTAAATACCTACAAAAGCAAGTTTAACAGGATAACAAAGTAGAACGAATTAATTCTTTCTTAAGCGTGAAGCGCTATCTTTCAGTGTTGTGCTACACTATTTCGTAGCTCGTAGCACAGGTGCCGTAGTTTATCTGTATACAATTCAATTCAAACTAAGTCAAACAGAGGGCGTTGAATAAGTTCTCCTGATCCTCAATAGACAGCGCCACTGTATCAAGCGGCAGTGAACACAGCCGAAGCGAGCTTTTTCTCTCCCACGCAGAGCACAGAATGCTTTAAACCACATTTAATGTCGCTCTAACGAAAGCTTTGCTTTTCATCGCCGAGTGAGTACTGGGCTTACTTTGGAGCTTGTTGAGTAGCGGCATTGGATATGATGTAACAGCGAGAGCCGTGTGTGTGTGTTGTTACTGGTAAGTGGTGTTGTGGACGTGGGACCGGCGGCTGCCGCCGGCCCGCCGGCTGTGCCTCGCCGGCAGTAAGGACGTGTTCGCCGCGGTGACAGGTGCCACGCCGCCCCTGCACGCAAGTTGCGCTCGCGAAACTACCCCATTGTTTATAACACTTGTTGTCTTCGGCGTCCGGTGTTGATATAAAAACCTACTTATTCCCAATTTATTGCTGATAAAAAATGTGAACTTAGTGACGTGAAGTGGTTTAAGTAAATACCGGTTGGTTATGTTGTCAAGTACGACTTAAGTGCGAATTATTTTGTTAATTGACGATGTACACAAATCCCGCATGGATTTCTCTTCAGTGAAACGCTACTGAGATCTCACCTGCAGTTTATATGTAAGTGCCTGTCAGTAAATTCTTCTGTGGTTTGTCTTGATTTGTTTTGATAACGGGTAGAATGTAATTTATGTGTTAAGCGAAGCGTGATGACAGCTTCCACTTATTTTTATCCTGTATCTTAGTAGCATCCAAATAAAAGATGTAACAAGTTACAGAACAGTTGAACTTGGTTTATTTATGTCAAAATCAGTTATGAAATCGACTTCGGTTATAAGTAGGTATGGTCAATGCTAGTATTTATTCTGGGGTATGGTCTAAAAGGTTTTCAATAGCCATCAAAAAATTACTAAAACTTATTTGCTTAACAATTGATTTCATACATTCCAATAAGAAATGTAGAGCTTTAAAAAACGGGTGTCATTTTTTAACAGAACACCTCATCTAAAATTCATCTGTCAAGTTTTTTCTGAAGGGCCTGTCCAAGTTTTCTGGCGGTCCATTAATATGTTTGATGAGTAATACTATTAGGGTCCGTTGTAGCGAGCACAGCCGAGGCCGCGCGGGTTGAACGGCCTGCGCGCGCGCCGCCTTGCATCCAACCGCGACTCTACTCACCTTGGCAATAAACTAATATCGTTCTTTGCATTGTTTTAAACCTGCTTTGGACTTAATGCTCAGTAACGGTGTTACGGTCGACCTGATTTGAGGGCGGCAAGCTTGTCGACAACTCCAATGTTATGAACATTACACAGGTCTGCAATGGTTTTCCTCTTTGAAATCTGAGTAACGTTTTCTATAGTTTCTGATGTGCTGATTACGAGAAAAATAATAAAAAAATCCATCACGTCAGGATTTTTTTATATTGAATATTTAAGATTTAGCTCACAAATGTCTGAGCGCCTACATTTTAAAATTTATAAAACATCATTAAATTACTTTAGTTTTATTTTTTTGTATTTAATTAGTGTAAGGGGACATATAAGTTAATGCAAATCAGTAATTTGTTAATTACTACATAATGAGTATTAGTAATTCGCATGAAATATGTCAAAAAAGGGGTATTTTGGCTTAATTTAGTAATGAGCTCATTCATACATAATGATTGGGTAATATTACTTAATTGTTGCAAATATTATTAGAAAAGGGTGTAATAAAGATAAACCAAAGGGTTTTTGTATAAGTACCCGCACTGATTTATAAAATTAACAGTTGAACTGCGGATCTTGCAACATAAACTTTAAAATGTCATTGTTTAAATTCTCTGAATAGTTTTTGTAATATTTGCGGGAAATTTATGGTGATAAAACAACGAAACAGCATTACAGACTTTGTAAAAAATATTTACGAAAGTTATTTTGGATACGTTTTAAGTAACCAAGACAAAACTTGGACTCCTCATAAAATGTATACGACTTGTTTATTAGAACTTCGCAAGTGGTCAAAAGGACAGAAAAATTGCTTCAAAATCATTTCGCCTATGCTATAGATATGCCTATGCTCCGACTGTAAAGAAATAGTGGCCAAAATGATTACAACTTTTGGTGTAACGGGTTGTAGTATGAGCATTAAACTTCATTTCCTTAATTCGCGCATTGATTACTTCCCGAAAAATTTAGGAGCCGTTAGCGAAGAACAAGGCGAAAGATTTCATCAAGATTTGAAAGAGCTTGAAGTCCGGTATCAAGGCAGATGGAATACTAGCATGATTGCGGACTATTGCTGGTTATTGAAGCGCGATTATCCAAACCGGAAATTTAAGCAAAAATCGCACAATCGAAGCTTCCAGGAAAAAAGGATCAGGTTCCACAAATAAAATTTACATGTAATTATGACTAGTAACAAGTTTTTATTATGTTTTAGTAGTTTTTTCATTTAAAAGTAATGTACTTCTTTAAAGATATATTTTTTTTATGTAAAAACTTGTGATTTTTTTCCTATTTTCAGTCTGTACTTTTTTTGAAAAATCTGGAGGTGATGGAGAAAAACTAAGTACATATTCGTAATCAGCGCACCAAAATACCCTAGAATCAGCTATCAAATCCTAGAGAGGAAGTTATGACCCTCATTTTGCAGGCCTGTGTTATCCGTCATGGTAGCCGACTCTACATGATGTGAATGTAAAGTATAAGCGCTACACGGTATGTAAAGTTACGTTGCCTTTTTATATTAAAGGCGAATAGCCTCGGCTTCGGTGTGCACAAATTATTTGTGGCGGGCTTGTATTAAACCAAACATATTGGACACACTTATTTAACCATTAAGGAAGTTAACTGCAGTTGTTATTTTTTGATAACAAATATTTATTTAGTTAAATATGTTAGATCATGATGAAACTGATTAATACAGGATATATCAGAATAACATACCAATTTACTAATTAAAATTTGTGAGACTTTGGAGAAATTAAACTTTTTGAACTTAAGTCACTGATGTAGGTACCTTTTTACAATTGGTTTAGGGTTAAAATTGTCTTTAGAATTAAGAAAACTTTTTTCAGGTGAAGGGTGATTTTTTTCAATCATTTTCTCAGGTCCGTATTACGAAATAACACAAAACTCGACACAACTCTATTCAACTTATACTTGAGGTTGAATTGCAAAGGAAAGCGTGTCCCTCCCTACATGGCTTAGTGTTTGCGCTTAATAATAATAAGTAATGTCTAGTTTATGGTATGACCCAAAGGGACTCTAAAATATCGCACGGTTTATTGTTTCAGTTGAATAAATAATTTCAATACAAAAATAGTTCATAGACGACCTACGAGTAGTGCATCTCAAATAGTAAAGAAGGTAATAGACTATCTTAACCATAAAGTTAATATTCCTCCTTCGGGAGGAGGAATGTTAACTTTATGATCTTAACACTTATTATTATCCGCAACACTAAATATTAATAAAAATATACTTTTATGAATATGTATGTACGTACAGGTATAAAAAGATTGTCTCAGCAATGCTCCACACGCATACCCGTAAGAATCCTATAAGTTTCTTTCAGATGGAAGACGGTCCCTGGGGACAGCCATCTTTCTTCCTCCCGATCTGCTACTGTCAGTGATAACGAGGCCGATCTCATTTATTAGCTTTCGCTTCAAAACGAGCATTTTTTGTGGAATCTTTTCGGGGATTACTTATTCTTCGAGGTAACTTTCTACCCAATTTTCTGGCTCATTATATTTTTGGCACAAATTAGAATATCTCACGGAGTCAACAGTGAATTGAGTCATACCTCAGATCTGGATTGTGATTAGAAAGTTGGGAGCGATACGACGGACGGAGGGTCAAGTGCCCTCTTGTCGTCGATAGAGATTTGCAAATCTGGGTCCACTCGCCGAGCCACCCACTTCAAACGCTCCTACATCTTTTGTCCCCTGCCATGGAGGTATTTAAAGCCTTTATATTGCTGTTTTATTTAATTCGAAGCATTGAACATTCATTTATTTTAATTTTATACGTACCTTTTCAATTTAAAACTCAATTTTATGCCAATGCTTTCAATATAATTAATATTTTACTAAGTATAACGATAACAATACTAACTCAATAATTTAACTGCAGATGTTCTCTCTAAATTTTAATGACAGCTTTTTCTAAGCTTAAATAAACTATTTTCATGTAATTTGCACTTTTCTTCAGTATTCTTAATACTATATTTTTAATGTTGCCAAAATTATAACAAGATTTTAGTCTCATACAATTCATGGAAAAGAAAATCGATTTCCTTCAATTCATCAATATGCTACTTACATATTTATATCTGTCTAATTCTACTCTACTCTACTCTACTCGCATGTATTAGTGTACGTTTGTTAATGATAATAATTAAATCAATTAACGTCTCTAATCCATATTACCGAACCTCTAATTAATTTGGACACTAACTAAAACAGGTTATATTGGAAGCTGGCTAGCAGTTGTGCTAAGTACTACTAATCTGCATGTGTGTGTCGCCGTGATCACGAATGATCATGATTTCATGAATATTTGCGGGCGGCGGGGCGCGGGCGCGGGCGGCGGCCGAGGACAATAGATCCTTTGTTGCACAATGCCCATTTCCGATTACCAGATTGAATCGTGTCCGTCAAAGCGCTCCCGGTCCAATAATCGCCGGCGCGGAATGGACGTCATTTTTGTATGACGCTATTGTCATGTTCCGAAATCTAACATGAGCTAGTCAAAGCGGGGTCTGCTCCGAGCGGTCCATAACCGCTGAAACAGACAGCGGCAAAGTGGCCGCGTTGACGCGTGATAAAACGAATTATAATTGCCTTCGGTTTATGTATGATTAATAGGTTATTATAGACAATGCAACTATTAATTAACGCGATGAAAGAAATTCACAAAATCGGTAGAAAACTTTTAATCTTTGTACACACACCTACTTAATTAATTTCATTGATAATTAGTTGCGCGTGCCGTCACACAATTACAACAGTAATATTTTGTGAACAGCGATGACAATGCTATTTGAAGCGTCGCAGTTTAGTAGCTGCCTGGCTATATCTTTTGACAATTCTATTGTGAATGCTATCAATATCAATTCAAAGGTTCGTCTCTTCTTCGTGATTATTTTGTATTGCTTGGGGTTGCAGATTGGAGAGCCCGTCAGAACAGTTTGCGGTCAGGAACTTCCAATAGGAATCGAACTAATATAGCGCCGACGCTTCACGCTATAGCACTCCAGAGGCAGACTCTGGGGATTCTCAAAGTTTGGTTGTTATTTAATTTAACCTCTCGTTATGCGGGCGGGTGAGTAACGCGTAGTCTGCGAAACGACGCCCGGCGTACTGTTCATTGTTGCGGAAATTTAGACGAATTTGCGACGATCGCGTTTCATTAAGGGCCGTTTTAGTACGGAAGGAGCGCCGCTTTTAATTCACAAAGAGAGTGCGGTGCTAACGTAAAACAAAGTTTTAGAGGGGTTCTTCGTTAGTTGCTCACTCACAGGTGGAGCGCTGGATCGCGGTGAATATGTTAATTGTGATTACATACTTGAACGTGCAATCTCCGCACGTGCGAACTGACACGTGAAGAAGGGCGGAACTTATTAGTTCTAAT